GTGAATGAGGCACCACAAAAGTGCGTCATGTTTTTGTATGAATAAGGTACAACCACTTTAATTGCACCGTGTCTTTGTAAATATGTAATAAGCACCTCAGTGTAAAACTGAGCCACAATATTAAGGCTCTGTAGCTCACCTGATTTATGAATAATTTATCAAATGAAAGTTCACTTTGTAAAATGTGAGTATTTTTTACGAAAAACAAAGACTCGAAATCATGTTGATTTGAACAAAATACGAAGTCTTCATAAAAACAAATCAAATTTGCTTGCCAAATTTCAGCTGCGTCAGTCAGACAGTACCAGGGAACATGTAAAAATTATTAAACTATAAGTTGTCAACGGGGGAAGAGTTCTATGGATGTATAACATCTTTAGGGACCTTTAGGGAGTGATGATGATTTTATAAGGTGGGGGGGCAGCAATTTTGTACATAACAGTATTTTAAAAGTATGGCAAGGGGACGGGGGAGGTCATTGATTTTGTACATGATATGCAGGGGGGTGTTACTTAATTTGAAAGTAATTTTTTTTTTTTTTTTTTGGGGGTGGGCATTCACATTGTACATGCTTCTGCATAAAACTCCTCCTCCTCCTCCCTTGCCATAAGTTATGAACGGTCCCTTATTATTAATATGAGCTCATATTCATAATAAAGAAGTTACGTGTCTATAGAACTGTTCCCGTTGTTCATCACACCTACTTCTAAGTGCCACTCGAAGAAGGTATCAGTTGTCAGGACTTCAGAGGAGCGTCATGTAGAAGTCCGTCGAAAGAGACTCTTAATCACATATAAGTGGTTTAAACAATGAGCCGTCGACCTTAAGAGTTTGGTTGTGCTTATACGTGTTTGCTATGTTCTGATATAACATAAGGTGTGGGGTAGTGAAGCCTCGTTTTGGCCATGCACCAACGACCTCGCCTAATGTTCCCACTTTGGTTTGTATTGGCCATGACAACAGCCATCTCGGTGTCACCAACAATTACTTAAAAGGTTGGATTTAAGTCAAAATTCACAATCTCGCAAAACTGGAACATAAAGTTTAGGCCAAGTACTAAGTTTTGAGAAATTTCGATACATTTTTAACAATTATGGCCGATTAAGAACCATCTTGGTTCCTAAATATGGTTGCCTTAGTTCCCATGTTTGACATCGAATCAAAAATCATAAATGTTTCAGAGCCGCCATACCCAAAACACACCCGTTCAAAGTACATGAAGTAAATGCATTAATAATAGCAAGATATGGCCCGGTTAAAGGTAAATAAAGGTTAAAGGTAGTAACATTACCAACAATCAAATTGTAATAATTTGGCAAAAAATACCAATACTTCTAATGGCCTCAAATGGAATTTTGCAACATGACCGCTGCAATGACCATATTTCAAATCCAAATTACGTAAGCACAATTAAGAAGCACCATACCTGGGATCATCCACACACAGTTTAAACTCGACAGACTTTGTACAATTCGTCAACGCAGATATCGAAAACGCAAAATGTTAACAGCACACAACGCACATGTATATCATTAGGGACAAAGAATATTACTTGCCTTAAAATACACACAAGAAACAGAAAAGACATTAAGAACACAAAAGGTAACGTAACATTTTTATTATAAAAATAACAAAAATCATGCAAAATACAAAAATGACTGATAAAGAGAACGAAAATGAGGGCAGGATGAAGAAACATCAAACTACTGGGGCTCTTTCTACAAAGCAACTGTAGCGATACGATCGTAAGACTATGCTAAAGTATGGGACATACAATCACCTAAGAGCTAAGATTATTTTTTAATGCAGCCCAATGCCAAGGTCCCATTTGCACAAAGCAAGCTACGATAGGATAATCGTAACGCCGGCCATACTCTGTCACAGACTGAAGATAGCGGTAGTGTTAAGATCGTTTGTGGACCGAAGATCCTTGCGCTACGATAATCGTAACGCCCACCCTCTATCACAGACTGAAGATAGCCGTGGCGCTAAGATCGTTTGTGGACCGAAGATCCTTGCGCTACGATAATCGTACCGCCCACCCTCTATCACAGACTGAAGATAGCCGTGGCGCTAAGATCGTTTGTGGACCGAAGATTCTAGCGCTACGATAATCGTAACTTCCATGCTCTATCATAGACTGAAGATAGCGGTAGTACTAAGATCGTTTGTGGAACGAAGATCCTAGCGCTACTATAATCGTAACTTCCATACTCTATCATAAACTGAAGATAATCGTAGTGCTAAGATCGCTTTGTGCAGGTGGGCCGTGGTAGACATAATAATCAATGTTACAATCATGCTACGTGCAACTCATCACACGACACGATACACTAATGCTGGTATGTTCTATCTTAAGTCTTGGTCTACCATGTAGTTCAAATAAGTTTCAGGGAGATGAAGAGTCTGCAAAGAGGGGGGTTAAAATTGGCACCGTTCTTAGTAAATCGGAAATAAGCATCATCTACTGACGTAACACGTTTCCAATATAGTGGTCAGATTAAGTAATGGTCCATCAAAGTGTTTAGGCGTTATATTTACATATGGTATAAGTTTTACATCAGTGATTATTTAAAATATGTCCACCAATGCTTAAACATTAACCTGACCTGCCCATAGATAATCATTCGTTCGCTATTTATAAAATGGAAATCTTTCAACCTAAACAATTTGACATGATACATGAACCATTGTCTGGTTAAATGTGTCCCGCTGGTGTCATAGGCAAAACAGAGATGGAAAAAAACGAAAGATATCGAATGGAATGACACCAGGTGTTCGCGATGATAATATAATCATAGACACCGTTTGGTGCCTAACGTGGGACAGGGATATTCCGAAAAGGTTCAGGTATTTAATTCTTGATTTCAAGTCGTCTTTGTTTCTTCGAACGGAAGGACGAAGAAGAGAGATAGATGAGGGAAGGAGGGGATCTTCATCAAAACCTTTGTTATACCTCGGATGCAAAGTTCCTATTTCATTTCAAAACGATATAATTAATGAATGACACTAATTGAAGAGGTGATCTCAAATAAAACGTTTTTTCGTGTTTTAAGGTATTATATTAAAATACATTTCATAATGTACTTTTTCACCATCAATCCACAGACCAACAAAACATAACAAGGTGTCTATAGGCCACGAGAGGATGCAATGGACAAGGTACAGTATACAATATACAATCAATGCAAAGATAGAGAGACAATGCAACGCATGAGAGACAGCTAGGCGAGGACGGCTACCACTAGGTACAGTGAAACCAGAGGAGTACGGGGCCTGGCTCCGGCGTTTGTTTGTTTGTTTGTGTGTTTGTTTGTTGAATCCCGCTCCCAGCAGTGATCCCGCCACATGACGGCAGTCTTTAAATAATTCATTCTGGACCACATAATCTAGTGACTGACGCAATAACGATACGATAACATACACAGTCGTGCAAAAGGTATTCGACACTTGACGTCATTTGCATACACTAACATGTTATTTCAGTGCAGCATAAATATTTTCATGAAGTGAGTTTAGGATGGATCTTTGTACAATCTGACAGGCAAATTCGAAATCATCTCTGCTCTGCACACATAATTTCAGTTCAATTATCCGTCCACTATTTAACTGATGACATCACATTTATCAACTTACGTATGGATCCACAATGCACAATACCATAGGCCGCCATGTTAAAGGAGTGCACAGCACTGTACATATGTTGATTAACTTGTTGCCATTCGATAAATAAGTAACGGAAAATTAAACAGAAATTATGTGATTGTAGGTAAGATTATTCCTCACAATTGTGCAACATTTGACTTGAATCTTACGAAAATTAAATTCATGAAAATTATTTATGCTACACTAAATTAACATGTTAGTCTATGGAAATTACGTCAAGTGTCCGAATACTTTTTGCACGACTCTGTATATCAACGAACCCCATAACCCGATCCCGTTATTCGTCTTAATGGCTTGCTGGAAACCAATTCTAAATCGCATCTTCGGGGGCCAGTTTTTCGTGTATATGAGTGTTGGTAGGGTATGGATATAAGGTGAATCCCAGATTCACCTCAAGATCATAATGCAAAAACGTCAAACCCGAGAAGATCCGGGATAGAATTGATCTTCAGTAACCTATGCTTGTCGTAAGAGACGTCTACCGGTATTGGGTGGTCAGGCTCGCTGACTTGGTTGACAAATGTCATCGTATTCCAATTGCGTAGATCGAGTCTCATGCTGCTTATCACTGGATTGTCTGCTCCTTATTTACGGATCACTACCATATAAATTGTCCACCCCTATATTGAACCTTACCCGTGAAGACCAGGGTTAGAATTGGTCTCCAGCAACCCATGCTTGACGTAAGGCTAACATCTCTACTAACAGATCTACCTGCTACTAGTGTGCCGCGCGTCGCGCCGCCGTCCCTCACTGCTATGGCCGGACGAGATCAACTACCACAACTAAATGTGGCAGTACAAAAATCGTCGGATACGAAAAACAATCAACATACACAATAGATATGGACATCACAACAGGCAACCATAGACATAAAATCAACGATAGACATAGACTCAAGAATGGGTATTGAGTCAACAATAGACAGAGAATTAACGATAGACATAGACTCAACGATGGGTATTGAGTCAACAATAGACAGAGAATTAACGATAGACATAGACTCAACAATGGACATTGAGTCAACAATAGACACAGAATTAACGATAGACATAGACTCAAGAATGGGTATTGAGTCAACAATAGACATAGAATTAACGATAGACGTAGACTCAACAATGGACATTGAGTCAACAATAGACAGAGAATTAACGATAGACATAGACTCCACGATGGACACTGAGTCAACAATAGACATAGACTCAACGATGGACATAGACTCAACAATGGGTATTGAGTCAACAATAGACATAGAATTAACGATAGACATAGACTCAACAATGGGTATTGAGTGAACAATAGACATAGAATTAACGATAGACATAGACTCAACGATGGACATAGACTCAACAACGGACATAGACTCAACGACTGACATAGACTCAACGATGTACATAGACTCAACGATGGACATAGACTCAACGATGTACATAGACTCAACAATGGGTATTGAGTCAACAATAGACATAGAATTAACGATAGACATAGACTCAAGAATGGGTATTGAGTCAACAATAGACATAGAATTAACGATAGACATAGACTCAACGATGGACATAGACTCAACAACGGACATAGACTCAACGACTGACATAGACTCAACGATGTACATAGACTCAACGATGGACATAGCATCAACAATAGACATAGACCTAACGATGGATGTTGAGTCAAGAACAGACATAGACTTAACAATATACACAGAATCAGCAATGGACTTTGATTCATCAACCTACAGTAGTTGGCCATAAGTGAGTCATCATTAGTGAAATTCCCATAGACTTGCATGTTAATTAACTCTTGCAAGAATAATTTTCATAAATTTAGTTTCGGTCGAATTGCTTTCAATGCTTATATATATCTACCAGCTGGGAAATCATCTCAGCTACATACACGTAATTTCCATTCAATTTTCCGTTGATTATTAAGAAAACTGCAACGATTTAAACAACATATATTAGACATACCAATCAGGTTTAACATGGCTGTCTATGGGATAGATTAAAAGTTGTACTTATGGTGCTTAATCAGGTGTCATGCGATAACTAATCAACGGAAAGATAAAAGAAAATTATGTACACGTAGCCGATGATGATTTCCAAGATGTTTGCAAAATATCAAAATAAAATGACTCCTCCTCAGATTATGAAAATTATTCTTGCAACAGTTAATTAACATGTTAGTCTATAGAAATTTGACTAATGATGACCCACTTATGGTTAAGTACTGTACGTAGGTTCAACAACAGATAGACTCATCAACAGTCTCGGTCTTTCATGTACTGACACTGTGAAAACACTCACTGCATGCTCAGGCATGTAATCATTTCAGTTAGGATTAAATGGTTCATTTGAGGCATAGAAATTAAAATATTCAAAACGTTTATAATTAATTTATGGTATTATATTTAAATAATTGTGTCTAGAGTCACGTGTCAAATACCAACCATATTGGAACTGTTTGTCTGAAAATCTGTCCCGTGTCGATAAGTGCTTAAGGTTGTTGTTATAATATGCTGTGAGGGTATGTGACATAACCAGACAAGATAGTTGTGTAACCCGAATAATTTACATGCAATTTCTGTTTGTTTGTCGTTTAACGCCGCACTCAGCAATATTCCACCTATAAGGAGGCGGTTTTGAAATAGTAGAGTCCGGACCAGACAATCCAGTGATCAACAGCATGAGCATCGATCTACGCAATTGGGATACGATGACTTGTGTCAACCAAGTCAGCGAGCCTGACCACCCGATCACGTTAGTCGCCTCTTACAACAATCATGGGTTGAAGAAGACCAATTCTTAATCGGATCTTCACGGCTAACCTGCAATTACTAAAATCACTTGCAAACTTAGCCTTTTCAAGACGACCCAGGAATAATACCCGATGCTGATTCTAGTACCACGTATTGTCGTCGTTTTCGTTATCGTAATCGTTGTAACTGTTGTATGTTTTGTAGCTGTCGTAATCATTGTAATTGTCGTAGTACACGTCGGCGCTGTAATAATCACCTCCTTCGATGGAGTAACCCGCTTCAAAGCCAGAAAAGTCGTTGTAGGAGTCGTCGGACTGGAAGCGGACGTAGAGGGCATTGCCGTGATGCTCGATGTGTGAAGATGGGCCGCTTCCACACATTCTGCAAGAACATACAAGGGACATAGTAGTTATATTATCCTGGGATTTCGAAAAAATATTCGTTGTTAACCTTCTAATCATATGAACGACTATAAAACATCTCACTAGTTTATAAAAGATAACTTTATCCTAGACACAAGCCATCATTCTAGAATGTTACCATGTTTGTGTGACGCCACACCCCTCGCTATATAAAACAGACGTACAAAAGAAAGTACACATCTGATGCTTTGGTAAAATGTTTTCCTAAAAACAGCGTAATATTTAGAAAAGTGTTTTAATTGTGACTCACAATTCACAAACATTGTGTACGTGTTGCAATATCACCATATATATCGTACCCAATTGGAACATTGCTAGCAAAATATTTACTTTTTTAAATAGTCTCAAAACAGCAGGTGTGTACTTTTTTTGTACATCAGTATACATCTGATACTGAAGTTTTGTTTTTTTGCTACTTAACGCCGAACTCAGCCATATTCCACCTATAAGATGACTGATTTTACCAAATCTAGTCCATGCAAACCAGTGATTGATATCATGAGTATCGATCCAAGCCGTCGGGGTACGATGTACGCTATGAACCAAGACGGAGAACCATGAACTAAGACGGAGAACCCGACCCCGTTAGTATCCTCTTAAGTTCATTCCACGATATGCATGCGTTTGGGTGAGTGAGTGAGCGAGCGAGAGAGTAAATATTTTAAATCACATCGGCAGTGTTTCAGCCATATCGTGACTAAATCAAGTTATAGAATTATAATAGTTAAAGGTAAATTATACAAACCTGTCAACAAGGACAGACAAAGAACAGTTACTAGCACATCACAGATATCAATGTAAAACTAGTAATTAAATCTAAAACTTTTAACTATAGAAGATGATGCAATATAAAAACCGGCTACAGATTGCCAACAACTGAAGGTAGATCACCATACTAGGGACCAATGGGACTTATAGTGTCTTTGCTTCCTGCATGGACTCAAGCTGGATTTACATCATCCCCGAAGATGTCAGCAATTGTAGGCGATTCTAGCCATAAACATAAATAACATAGATACAGCGATTAAAAACAGGATGATATACAAAAACTTGGGAGACATGAACCATGGGTTTGTGGAGGGGGTGGGTTGATATTCATTTAACTTTCTATATGATTTATCATCCAAAACTGTGTTCCACGGGAGATATCGCTTGTGTGAGATTATAAGATATCTCCTAGGAGATATCGTTTTGACAGTAGATTTTGCACAATGCTCTGACAATGCTATGACATCATCAACTTGATGACGTCACAATGCTATGACATCACTGCAAGTCTAATGGTAGTACAGTGTTGAGAGATGTACAATTTTCATTGAAAACTAATGAAGAATGATTTTTGATGATAAATAGAATCTCACCCTCGTGTCTATTGATATCAATAATATCAACACGAGTTGATAAAGTTACAAATATCTGAGGCTTGCCTAGGATATTTTTACCTTTATCAACGAGTGTTGATATAATTGATATCAGTAGACACTTGGGTGAGATTCTCTATATATCCTACAATTGATGGATATTGATCTTGATGGAATGGTCGCTGGGAGACGTGACTTACTTGGGTCCCACGAGATGAGGCCCGAGGGTACGGACCTCTACCCAGTCGTAGCCGCAGGGGGCATCGTCGTCATCCTCCATCTCAAACTTGTTGAACCACAACTTGATGCTGGACCCAGGGGGCCCTGCATAACGGAAGGTACATGTAGCTCACGAAGTTAGACACGAACGAGGGATTTTTAATTATATTTTTTAATTACGATAAGAATTTAACATATGCTATATTTGGGGTTACACTGTCTCCTTAAAGTGCCGATTATGTTACTGTTTTGGGTTGAGTCCCTTCCGGGATTCGAACCCACATTTTTACAGTGAGGCACCTAATCGCCGGTACACAAGCTCGGCAGACCGCCTCCGTGGTGTAGTGATTAGAGCGTCCGCCCGGAGAGCGGAAGGTCGCGGGTTCGATCCCCGACCGCGTCATACCAAAAGACGTTAAAATATGGTACTTGTTGGTCCCTGCTTGGCGCTCGGCATTAATGGGTACAACAAGGACTGGTCGGCTCGGAGTCAGTATAATGTGTCTGAGTGGGGTATCATGCTTCACTGCGGCATGGTATCTCAGTGGGCTAGCACTATAAAACCAGCTTCAGTCTGGGCTAGTACAAGCAGCCGCACATACACATACACACGCATGCACGTCGTCATATGAGCGAAATATTCTCAAGCACGACGTTAAACCCAATTCCATCACCACCACCACAACCACCACAAAGCTGGGCGATCTAACTCCCTCAGCCAGGGACTCACACTGTGAGGGTGGGTTCGAAATCCCGAATGGTGCTCAATCCTAGTACTAGAATCTGTACTTTACTGAGAAAGTGTCACCCCAAATATAACACGTGGTATTGCCCACTTTTTAAATGACATTGAGTATTTATACGATAAGAATGTATTCTAAATTTGAAAATAAGGTCAATCCTCAGGATCATCCTGAAATAAATAATGCGAAAGAAATTAACCTGCACGTGTGGAGAAACTGTATATACACACAACAGATGAATATAAAGGAACTTATCCATCGCCGTTCAAGCCATTATTAATAACTATACTGATGGAAATAAATAAGGAAACATACGAAAATAGAAGTATTCCTGTATGCTTTTCCAGATTTTTACTCACAGTACAATACAAAGCATGCGAAGAAACCTGGAAAAGACTGAAGGAACTCTTGTACTTTCACGTGTTCCCTGTTTTGTTTCCATGAGTATATTTCCGCGATGTGTGTTCAGCTATCTATAGTCATATATCAATATAGCATTTGTACTCACGAGAATAAGCCAGTGACATGTGTTGGGGCCACCGTACCCGTTAGGGTAGTTAGGAGTGGAGAACGTCCCGTCGCGAGCGGTCAGCACTCCCCCGCAATCTAAGCAGAAAAAAATAGGAATATTTGACAAAGATTTCTACTTTGGGTGTTGTGGAGTTTTTCTCTAGTCTTGTCATGTGAAGAATATAACGTGAGTGATGAGTTTAGTTTTACGCCGCACTCAGCAATATTCCAGCTATATGGTGGCGGTCTGTAAATAATCGAGTCTGGACCAGATAATCCAGTGATCAACAGCATGAGCACTGATGTACGCAATTGGGAACCGATGACATGTGTCAACCAAGTCAACGAGCCTGACCACCCGATCCCGTTAGTCGCCTCCTACGACAAGCATGGGTTACTGAAGATCAATATTGTAACCCGGATCTTCGCGGCTAGAAGAATATAAAGAAGTATTATTCATAATATGCTGTACATTAGTATGTGACTGCAATGGCAACTCGGTACCTTTAAGATTTGTTGTTTGTTTGTTTCATATTGTTGTTGGTTTGTATGTTTGTTAATTAGTTGGCTGATTTGTTTGTTTGTAAAACGCTGCATTCCGAAACATTACAGCTAAATGGAGATATGGACCAAGTAACCCAGTGGTTCATATTATGAGCATCAATGACAAGCACCAACCACGTCAGAGCACCTGCCCATCCCATCCTGTTAGTAGCCGCTTAGAACAATTTATTGCTGGAGTAGCTGGCCACACTCACCTGCCGTGGAGGAGATGACTTCGTCACAGGCGTCACCGGTCAGACCCCAGGGGCACATGCAGCTGCAGTCGGCACCCATGAAGCCCATGTTGTTACAGTGGGTGGACGATGGACAGTGCGCTGAAAGAGATGACAGTTTAACATCGGGCTCTTCATGTATAGTGATACAAATATCTGACAGGACATATCTGACTCGTTTGAGGAAGTTACAGAAAATGGGGCGTTAAGCATTCAAGTTGATACAGGTACCTCTATTTGGAGTGAGTGAGTTTAGCTTTACGCTGCATTTAGCAATATTCCTGCAAAATCACCTCGGGGGGCACCAGAAATAGGCTTCACACATTGTACTTATGTCGGGAATCGAACCTGGGGCTTGGCGTGACGAGCGAACGCTTTAACCACTAGGCTACCCCACCGCCTACCTATATAGAGAGAAAACGTTACCTGCACAGCCGTAAAGGTCGTTGGCGGTCTTGACGTCCATGAAGCTGAGGCCGTCACGTTGTCCCATGAAGCCCTTTACGCCGTCCTCCTTGGGAAGAATAGTGGGCGACTTCCCGTCCTTGCTGTAGTACTGTCACAAATAATACTAGTCACACACAAGTTGGGACAAAAGATACACCCATACACATTGTGGAATTGTCACAAATTATATACTCGCACACACGTTGTGGAACTGTTACAAGAGACACACACACACACACACACACACACACACACACACGCACACACACACACACACACGCATGCACGAACACAGTGAACTCGCCTCCCTCAGATAATATTTTTTCAGGTGCTCTACCTCACTCTCACTCTCTCACTCCTCTCTACCTCTCACTATCTTTCCCTCTCACACACACTTCTCCCCCCTCCCTTACCTGTAAGTACATTTACATTTACTTTTGTGTACAGCCTATCTCTACAACTCAGGGCCCCGTTCCTCAAAGCGATCGTAGCGCTACGACTGTCGTAAGTCTATGTTAAAGTATGGGAGTTACGAGCGCTACGATCGCTTTGAGCGTTACGATCGCTTTGGACACTTAAGGAAACAAGTCAACTCACCAAAAGACACCAAGAAGGAAACTAGTCAACTCACCAATGGACACTCACCAATGGAAAGAAACAAGTCAACTCACCAATGGACACTGAAGGAAACAAATCAACTCACCATTGGACACCGAAGGAAACAAGTCAACTCAACAATGGCAACCGAAAGAAACAATTCAACTCACCGATGGACACCGGAGGAAACAAGTCAACTCACCAATGGACACCAAAGGAAACAAGTTAACTCACCAATGATCCGTAGTGCATCACCGAGCCTATATCGTACGGCTCGTCAGTGCGGACCTGGGAGCTGCTGTACTTCTTGAAATTGTACTGAAACTGCGGGGTGACATTCTCCATGTGCACGGACACGTGATCATCTCTGTCAGGTCGGGACTGCTCGTGGTAGAACCCCAACACGTGGCCGATCTCATGAGCAACAGACCCCATCTGCCAAAAGAACGCCACAGGTGTCATCAGCTGTGTTCGGTATGTGATTGTGAAACTCTAAAACCAAGCCTGTTTCGGTACTTATCGTAAGCATCAAAAGCATCATGTACTTCTTGGGTCAGAAGTCGGTAACTGTACCTCTGTGGTGCTGTAATGTACAGCGACGTCAAGATCAGAACCGTCCATAGGGGGCAGCACTGAGATACCTTCACCGTAACTACGTCATCCGGTGTATAGGACATAGTTGTCACGATATGGTTTAAAGGTCAGATGAGATGAAATAGGGTTTAACGTCGTGCTTAAGAATATTTCGCTCACATGACGACGTGCATGCGTGTGTATGTGTGGCTGCTTGTACAAGCCCAGACTTAAGCTGGTTTTATAGTGCCAGCTCACTGAGATACCATGCCGCAGTTAAGCATGAATACCCCACTCAGACAATGTATTATTCTGACTCCGAGCCGACCAGTCCTTGTACCCATTAATGCCGAGCGCCAGACAGGGACCAACAATCACGGTAACCATATTTTAACGTCTTTTCGTATGACGCTGTCGGGGATAGAACCCGTGACCTTCCGCTTCCCGGGTGGACGCTCTAACCACTACACCACGGAGGAGGTCATGGTTTGAAGGTATCCACACAGGAAATGTATGTAATGAAGGCAAACAGACTTACAGTGTTACATCTTGTGCCGATGGATGTTTCTTGACCACCAACAATCCGTCCTATGGCCGACTGGCATCTGGAGAACAACAAACCCGTTACCAAAGACTCTGTATCATCTTCACTCTGACTGTTCCTCTTCCAAGCATACTCTTCACAAGATGTCGTTACTCTTGGTTCAATGATGAGTTCATTAACTTTATTTTATGCATAGATTATTATACATATACAGGGCTGTAGCTAGACGGGTGGGTGGGTGGGGGTGGGGGTGGGTGTGTGTGTGTGTGTGCAGGGGTTGCAGCTGCCCCCCTAGATTTTTTTTACAGATTACATTTTATGCATCAAAGTATTGATATAACACTCTTTTAACATTGATAGTGCCCCCCTTATTAAGAAAAGTTAACTACGGCCCTGACGTAGATGGTAGATGGTCTACTCATATACCCCAACAATGGTTGATGGTGTACCCACGTACCCCGCACCTAGGGATATAAATAATAATAATACCTGTACCCAGGTACCCCCTTGGTAGACGGTGTACACTGCACCATAGTTAATGGTTTAACAACGCACACACCTGACCAGTTTTCCCACTTACCAAGGTCCCTGGTAGAACTTGACACACCTGCCAGTTTCCCACTTACCCAGGTCCCTGGTAGAACTTGACACACCGGACCAGTTTCCCACTTACCCAGGTCCCTGGTAGAACTTGACACACCGGTCCCTGGTAGAACTTGACACACCTGCCAGTTTCCCACTTACCCAGGTCCCTGGTAGAACTTGACACACCTGCCAGTTTCCCACTTACCCAGGTCCCTGGTAGAACTTGACACACCTGCCAGTTTCCCACTTACCCAGGTCCCTGGTAGAACTTGACACACCTGCCAGTTTCCCACTTACCCAGGTCCCTGGTAGAACTTGACACACCTGCCAGTTTCCCACTTACCCTGGTCCCTGGTAGAACTTGACACACCTGCCAGTTTCCCACTTACCCAGGTCCCTGGTAGAACTTGACACGACTGTCATCATGCAGAGCTGTGGAGTACTCCTTGAACCTGATACAGGTCAGATCTTCCCAGTGCTGTATGGCCCGATGGATGTTGTCACGATAGCTGGATGCTGTTAATGTACAAACAGTAGACGCAATTCCCGACATTTCCGAGTCTGGGTCCTGATTTTCGAAACGTTCGTAGCCCTAAGAATCCTTAACTGTGGTCGTAGCCAATGTGTTTAGAATGGGCTTAAGTCAAGAAGTTCGTGGGGCTACGAACGTTTCGAGAATAAGGGCCCTGCTCATTATGAATGATTTAAATCAGTACTCGGTCCGATTCCAGAAAGCAGTCTCAGCTCTAAGATGATCCACAACCTATGTTAAAATAAGGGAGTAACGATCACTTTAGCTTATAGGGCTCGTAAGTAGGTCGCGGCACTTCACGAGTGCTTACGTTGTTTAGTACCTCGGTGACAAACAACGTTTCATACCTATTCGAATAGTCTCATGGTTGTCTGTTTCAACTGTCGACTGTCAACTATTTCGACTGTCAACAGCTGTGACAGCCAAGCATGGTTGTACACTTGGTCCGGTCTAGTAAAGTCAGATTTGGCGGTCGCACAATTTGGAACCAGATCTGGTTCTTGAATAAACGCTTGTCACCGGAAATCTGGTACCGGAAGTAAGCTGGGCCCCGTCACGCATGTCGCAAGCTGGTGCGCGCAAAGGGAGCCGGGAACCAGCTTAGTACCGGAAATAGCGCCTCGCGAGACTTACAGGCCCTATGCTTGTTGGAACGGGCCGCGAGACAATGGCTTAAACCTTAGTTTATATATGTCAAACAGTAAAATACGTTTGAAGCGAACACATTTACAAAGAACTGAAGAATATTACGAACTGGGAGTTTTGGGGTCCCGGACACTTGCTATTTATTTCAGTCAAAATGCGTGTAACGAACTCAAAGGGACACCGTAGTTTTCAGTACATTGTTACTAGTGAATGAGTTAAGTTTTACGCCGCACTCAGCAATATTCCAGCTATATGGCAGCGGTCTGTAAATAATCGAGTCTGGACCAGACAATCCAGTGATCAACAGCATGAGTATCGATCTACGCAATTGGGAACCGATGACATGTGTCAACCAAGTCAGCGCATCGTTACTAAGGAATTTGATGCACATAACGAAGGGTGTATCCTTCTTTATTGACTGCATGATAACACAATGGAAACAGACGTACGTAGATCAGAGTCGAACTCGTATACGACGACATTGTTAGGCCAGAGGTACTGGTCCTGTGCTACGGCCTTCCTCCTGAAGCGGGAGCCCCCTGGCCGATCATCATTGCCAAGCATCATCATCTGTTCTGGTGTGAGCTTCATGTCTGACTCGTACGCCCCGTCAACGCCTATCTCCTCCGGGGGTATGTTAGGGCGGGCTATCCTCTTGCCGGTCGCCAGACGTAGAGCCTTCGTATTCAGACGTGCCTGAGATCAATAACAAGTGATTCATTCAATACTACAATAAGAACAACCACTACTACTACAAGTGCTGCTGATACTGCTATTACTACTTCTTAAACTGCTACTACTGCTACGACTACTACTACTACCACCACTTCTACTACTATTGCTGCTTCCCCTGCTACTACTTCTGTTGCTACTACCACTACTACTACTAGCTATAGTGGTGCTGCTGCTGCTACTGCTCCCATTTCTGGTGTCCCCCGCCGTGATGTTGCTGGAATATTGCTAAAAGCGGCGTAAAACCTAACTCAGTCAGTCAGTCAGTCAGTCAGTCTACTGCTGCTGCTACTACTACTACTACTACTACTACTACTACTACTAGTGTTGCTGCTACTTCTACTACCGCTACCACTTCTACCAATACTACTGCTATTATTATTACCACTACTACTGCTGCTGTTGCTGCTGCTCCTACTAACTACTGCTACTACTACTACTACTACTACTGCTGCTGCTGCTGCTACTACTTCTACTACTACTACTACTACTACTGCTGCTGCTGCTGCTACTGCTACTACTACTACTACTACTACTGCTTACTAACTGCTCTACTACTAACTACTAATGCTACTACTACTGCTGCTACTAATACTACTGCTACTGCTACTACTACTACTACTGCTGCTGCTGCTGCTGCTACTACTACTACTACTGCTGCTGCTACTGCTCCTACTAACTACTGCTACTACTGCTGCTACTAATGCTACTGCTACTACTACTACTACTGCCGCTACTACTGTTGCTGCTTTTGCTGCTCCTACTGCCTTTACTACTACAGATAACGAGCAGCCATTCTTACAATCAAGTGTACTGCTACAAGAAACAACGAGCAGCCATTCTTTCAGCCACCAGTACTACTGTAAGAAACAACGGATAATTCTCACATTCACATTGAGACTGCAGAGATTTTATGATACAAGACAGTGAAAGGTTTAATAGAAGCCACAAGTTTATTCTCTTGAATTCCCTTGACTTCCTTTTTATTGTGGGGTTTTGGTACCATCCAAAATGTAACCATAGCAATGACCCAATCACCAAGTCATGTACTATCTACATTCTAGGAAATAAGGTAGAATGTGAGAATTATCCGTTGTACTTTAAGAAACAACGGATAATTCTCACATTCACAATGAGGCTACAAAGATTTTATGACACTAGACATAAACTCTTAATAGAAACCACAATTCTATTCCCTTGAATACCCTTGAATTCCCTTTTACTGTGGGGTTTCGGTACCATCCAAAATGTTTCCATAGCAATGACCCAATCACCGAGTCATGTACTATTCACCTTACAGGAAGCAGGGTTTGCCCTCCTCCTGACTTCAGTCAGTTCGCATGTATACGCCGCACAATTAGGACGTCGACCAGCATGTTTCTCTGGTGTGCTAACATCACATGTGACAACAGAAGGTATTTGGCAGGAGCCCTCGCTTCCTTGTTGCAGGCAGTGGAGTAGATCCGTGTTCCGACCTTGGCGCTCTGGTGTTACGCCATAACGGTATTGTTAGCCAATCGGAGCACTGAGGCCCTGTTTGCTGGCCTCGTGCCTGTCCTGTATTTAAGACAACAACGCGACAATGTCCCTTCTAGGATTCCATACAAGACAGTGTTGTGAAGGAGATCATTTTACCATACATTTTAATTAAATTATAACCAGAAAAAAAGTCCCCGAACCCAGTTAACATGGACTGGATCATCGGGTGATTTGGGTTTAGCGCGGTTATTGCTGATAACATTTATTTTTCAGTTTCAGTTTACTGTCTGTGTGAGTGAGTGAGTTTAGTTTTACACACAAGAAGCACAAGAGAAGACTAGGGCAGACATGGTTAGAACATGCATATGTTCATTTATTCAGGGGCCACAGGTGACCTTTGAATGGTAGGTTATTCAACTATTCAAACTGTTAGATTGTGTCTAGGAATACTTGGCCGTCAAAGGACTGACTGACTGAGTTTTGGTTTTACGCCGCTTTTAGCAATATTCCAGCAATATCACGGCGGGGGACACCGGAAGTGGGCTTCACACATTGTACCCAGGTGGGGAATCGAACCCGTGTCTTCGGAGTGACGAGCGAGCGCTTTAACCACTAGGCTATCGGGATTCGGACTACTTACGGCACCTCAGACTGGGCCACTCGTGCCACCAATTAACATAGACATTAATACATCATTATATAGGATTGCTAGACAGGTTTACAGGCATGTGAGGTGAGGTGAGGTGAGGTGAGGTGAAATTGGTTTTTTCGTCGTGCTTGAGAAGATTTCGCTCATATGACGACGTGCATGCATGTGTATGTGTATGTGCGGCTGCTTGTACTAGCCCAGACTGAAGCTGGTTTTATAGTGCTAGTCCACAGAGATACCATGCCGCAGTGAAGCATGAATACCCCACTCAGACACATTATACCGACCAGTCCTTGTTGTACCCATTAATGCCGAGCGCCTGGCAGAGACCAACAAGTACCATATTTTAACGTCTTTTTGGTATGACGCGGTCGGGGATCGAACCCGCGACCTTCCGCTCTCCGGGCGGACGCTCTAACCACTACATCACGGAGGCGGTCGGCATATGAAAGTATGAGTAGCCAACAACAGGATCACAGACAGACACATGTTGGACAAACGAGGATAGACACATATCGGAGAGCGAGGGTAGATACATGTTATTCAAGCGAGGATAGACATGTGTTATTCAAGCTAAGATAGACACATGTTAGGCACCCGAGGGTAGACACATGATAGATGATAGGCAGACAAGGATAGACGAATGTTAGGCAAGCGAAGATAGGCAGTTGTTAGGCAAACTTAACAAAGCATGAAACGACCAATTACAAAGACACCAAGATGTCTGCCGACAAGAAATTGTATAATCTGAAAATTGGGGTTTGACCAAAAACGTTATTACCCCAAAAACAGTCGTAGAAACACTGCAAACGTAATGTCTCAAACTCAATTCTGATAAGGTCTCAAATGCAATATGTACAACGGAAGCACAATTTTTCTTTAAAAAATGGCACAATGTATATAATGGATATAATGAATTTGCCTGGAAGTGTGTAATTCAAGATTGAGTGTGATTGAAATATATCTATCACTGATTATAATGAAATAATGAAAAAAGAAAACACCCCATCAGTTCATAAATATTTTACGATGCAAAATTATTAATTAAATTTTCATAAATTTCATGTTTTGTAAAAGCAAACGAATAAATATCTAGAAGGTTTAAGGTAAGAAAAGCTTGTCTTACCTGTACCGACCTTGCGTCACCTTCCATAGTCCACACTTGTAGTATTAGGAGAGTTAAGAGTAGAAGTCCCATGATGTGACTTGTCACGGAGGATGAGGATGAGGAGGAGAAAATCTCCATTATATACCAAATCCATCGTCATCAGCCGCTTGCTAACCTCCTCACCTGCTTCCTACTTGACTTGCTTAGCCAATGAAAATCCACCTGGCAAGTGTTAAGCAGATGGCGTTTTTACTACGATGTAATTGATGTGTCCATCCCGAGACTTAATTAAAACGTTCATTGTTACATAGTTACTTTGGCCAGCTACGGTACTACATGCGTCATTAGATTGGAGTCAGTCACTGAAAATCATTACTGTCTTCAGAATATGGAGATATCTCAATACCCTGTTTTGACCTTTAACATATGCTATCGTGGTTTACTGCGAAACATTGACTTGGCTTTGCGTGTGTTTGCATATTGGGATATTTCAATTCCCTGTTTTAACTTGTACCGTAAGTTATCGTGATCTACTGCCAAAAATTGACTTGGCTTTGCATGTGTTCTGTCGGGTGGTATGGTGGGGATACGCTACCTTTTCGTGAACGCATGTAACATTAGAGTTTCATTGTGACACAGTCATACAGTTGACTGTCAGCAGACATTTCTTCTGATTTTGTATAGGGTTGTATTGAACATGGAGATATTTCAATTCCCTGTTTTGACTTGTACCAAATGCTATCGTGTTTTACTGCGAAAAATTGACTTGGTTTTGCATGTGTTTTGTCGGGTGGATGGAGATACCTAACATTTCGTGAACACCTGCAGCATCAGTGTTTCATTGTGATATACTCGTACATTCCGCTGATCTTGACAGAGATTTCTCCTGATATGGAAAGAATTGTGCCACGTTTATGCACTTAGAAGTTAGAATGTCTTTAATGGCTGTTATATCATCTTGATAGAAACGAAACAGCTTCTTTGCTTTCTCTCAATTTGTAATGTTACTGTTTAGTTGGAGTGATGGAATATTGAACTAGCTGCTTTTTACAAATGTTGTCATCCGATGCATTGACCAATCAGAGTCCAGTGCGTTGACCAATCAACAGCTGGACAATGGAAACACGTCTCCAACTAAACGCAGTGGGTTTTCAGGGCGGAAATGCCAATATTTGTTTTTTGTAAGTTGGGGACAAATCGGCTTACACAACGTTTCACAATACACGAAGTGGGGTTTAGCACTGGATCAGACCGCGGTAGACACAAGTGTCACGCACTGAACACAGTTCTCCGGTAAGATACAACACATTTACCTGGCAAGGCACGTTACATATCCTCAGTATGGTCCAAACAGTAAAATAACACAGCCCTGATGCTGTATACCTATCTCAACAGATGTTCTTGTCTAGGTGACCGCCTGTTTGTTTAAACGCCCTTAACAATAACGTTTTAAACTAAAGAAATGTTTTTTTCTTACATCAGAGATATATCTTTGGAACAATATAGTGCACAGAGAGTGATACGTGTGGAGCTGATAAAAACATGACGTCAGGGAGACACGTGGATTATAATTACTGTTAAACAACTTAAAGGATATGCCTGTGTATGGTTTGACGCAGTTGCGAATATTACTCATCGTGAAAAGAATTTCATTCAATGTTTCCTATATCAGAGTGATGGAGAAAGTGGTCGGTTTGTGGTTATCTCAGTAAATATACCTGAACAAGG